CCCCCCCCCCCCCCCTGATTTTAAAAAGAGAGTACCTCTTCTTCATCATTTTTTATTGAAAGATATAACTTTAAAAGGTTGATGTCATAAAAGGATTAAAGTATGTGATGCGTCGAATGGAACAAAATCAAAATAAAGTAAGGTGCGAAAAATAGAAGGAAAACATATAATTAAATTAACACTTAGAGGGTAAACTTGTCCATTTGATGTTTACACGACAGTTACGTACACAAAATAAGAAAGAATTAATCTTTGTACAATATTTCAAACCCAAAAAATGATACGAGGAAATGATTCAACATAATTTCTACAATTTTAATAGAAAAAAATGATCCTATAAAAATTTCTTGTGTATTATTTTTAGATCTCGAGGGGTACATTTAATTTTCACTAGATTTAAATCTTATTAATATTCTCAGAAGTGATGGAGTGAAGACAGCCTTTAAATCTTTAATGGGTTAATAAAGTTTACCTTCAGTGCCTGCCCCAAATGTAGGTGGGACTGACTCTAGAGCCAATAACTCTACTCCATGCCCCTACAACTTGTCAAAGTAATAATGTCCCCGTTTCAATTTAGATGACACATTTCGCTTACCGAGAGTCAAATTATGTAATTTGACCAACATTTTAAAATATATTTTTTATCATATTTACATGAGAAAAATTGCAACTTATAGTACTTTTCATATAGTTTTTGAATATCTAAATTTTATTTTTAAAATATTGAATTTAACTCATCTAATTTAGCTTCAAAGCTTAGTCAAATTGACTGTCGCTAAGGACTTTCTGAGAAGGACTTAAGTAGCTAAGTTTCCAAAAGATGAACACCCCCTGTCCTTTATAGTATAGTCGTAAAGGGCATCTTAGAAAAGTCAGGATGAAGGCATTCGAAAGGCCAACCACTATCTCATAGGCATTCTAGTAGTAAAACCGACGACTACATGGCTATATTCCAAGTCATGAGCGATAGCGAAACCAAGCCGCCGTCAATGTGTCATCTAAATTGAAAACAGAGGAAGTGGTTCGAAACTACAGAACATTAACGTATTTGACGTTTGTTTATTTCCTTAAAGGATTTAACTTATATTCATTAAATACATAAAATTTTTTCACTATGTAGTAATTTGTGATACTAAAGCTAGTTACATGTTTATCCGATAATCAACTCATATGTACCAAGATAATCTGATTGTATAAAATGTTTTTTTATACTATCCGTGCATAGAACTGAAGTCTTTACTTGAATTATTTGACATAGGCATGAGATTGTGGGTGTGGTGACTGAAGTCGGTACAAAAGTTGAGAATTTTAAAGTTGGAGATAAAGTAGGAGTTGGATACATGGTAGGATCATGTCGCAAATGTGCAAGCTGCGACAATGATCTGGAGAATTACTGTCCTGGTCAGATACCGACTGCTAATGGTACTAACGCCGATGGAACAGTGACGTATGGAGGTTATTCCGATATCATGGTTTCTGATGAACATTTTGTAGTTCATTGGCCTGAGAATTTGCCAATGGAAGCTGCTCCTTTACTATGTGCTGGGATCACAACTTATAGTCCTTTGAAATATTTTGGACTTGATAAGCCTGGAATGCACATTGGTGTTGTTGGTCTTGGTGGTCTTGGTCATATGGCTGTGAAATTTGCTAAGGCTTTTGGAGCTAAAGTCACAGTTATTAGTACCTCTATTGGTAAAAAAGATGAAGCTCTTCAACATCTTGGTGCTGATCTTTTTGTACTTAGCAGTCAGCCTCAGCAGATTCAGGTGTGTATAATGCAGTGGTTTTTTATTTGTTGAATGGATATTGTATATGTTATGTTGCTTTAAATTGGAGATGGCAAATGGATAGGCCAAACTTGGGCAGGTCTAAACTGGTTAATTAGTACATTGGGATACCAGGATAAGGGATAATTAATCTCGCGATTAAATTTGAAATGAGTTTATTCCACGTTTGGTTAGGATAAGTTCGCCGTATAACTAATCCGGGGATTAGTTATCCCGAGATTGTAATGTTATTTTTATCCCTATAGGAGGATGGAATAACAATCTCGGGATAACTAATCCCAAGATAATTAATCATGGGATAACTTGTTTCCCAAGACCCCAGAGTAATGACCCAACTTGTCAAAAAAATTTTTTGGGTCAAGATGGTCGAATAACAGGTCATCGTCATACTCAACCCACCCAACATGACCCAATCTTCCCTCTTTTCCGAAAGAAGTTGTAAAGCAAAGGTATTTTTTCTCAAATCATTTGCTTGAGTTCTTCCAAATTTGTTTGTTTAGGTTTGGCTTATGCTTTGACTCAATAGTTTGATGGATCATTTCTGATTTAATCCGTTAGATCAAGTCAACAAATAGGTCATGGTCAAAATTGTTTAAACTTGGACGGATTACTAAAAAATGGGTTGATTTTACCATCTGTAATTTAAATCTTTGTTTTATGTTGGCTATTATAACAGGGTGCATTGAACACAATGGATGGCATTATTGATACAGTTTCAGCAGATCATCCACTTTTACCATTACTTGGTATGTTAAAGCCTAATGGGAAGCTTGTTATGGTTGGTGCATATGCAAAACCACTTCAACTGCCAGTTTTTCCCTTGCTTTTGGGTAAGCACATCGCTTTTTCTTTTCCTTTTTTTCCTTTCTTACAATAACGGTGTATATAATTTAAACTATTAAACTTGATACTGACGTACATAATGTGGAAAACAGGAAGGAAGCTAGTGGCTGGGAGTGCTATAGGAGGAATAAAAGAAACTCAGGAAATGTTAGATTTTGCGTCAAAGCATAATATAACACCAGATGTTGAAGTCGTGCCAATGGACTATGTCAACACTGCTGTCGATCGCCTACTGAAGTTTGATGTGAAGTATCGATTCGTGCTCGATATTGGCAACCATTCGAACTCTGCTTAAGCTCAAACCATTTTTTGGTTCTTGAAAATCACTGTCTATTTTCTCAGCTCGTGTGTTTAAAAGTCTAAGTAATAGCATTGTCTTTGCTTAGCTCTATAGTTGTCCAATCTTAAAAGACTGAGACTTTCTGGTTTGTCTTAGTTTACTTTGTATTTTTCTATTTGGCTATGCTATTTTATCACAACTTCTGGCGTCGTTCCTTTGAACTCAAGGGCGGATTTATGGGACACGTCAAGTCTGTCCGCCAAAGTAGGAATTTTATGTATGTAATATCTGTTCGTACACATGCTCTAACAAAGCTGAATGATGCACTTGCTTGAATACCTAGTTTAGAGGTGGCAAAATGGTTAAAAGAAAATATTTTATCCACCCATATTATCCATTAAAAAATGGGTTGGATAATGAACTTTTTAAAAACGGGTCGAATATGGATAAAAACCATATTATCCACTTAGAAAATGGATAACCAATGGATACCTAATGTGTTAACTAGGGGTGTAAAAGGAAACCGACAAACCGCACCAACCCGAAAATCCGAGTCAAACCAAGAAAAAAATCCGACTATGGTTTGGTTTGATTTGGTTTGGTGTTGGAAAAAAAAAACCCGACCATAATTGGTTTGGTTTGGTTTGGTTTGGTTTTAACTATAGAAAGTCAAACCGAAACCAAACCAACCCGACATTACATATATAGAAATTTTAGATATATTTAATATATAAATATACTTATTGTGATGTAATTTATAAATATTTCTTAAAGATTTTTATAATTTTATCTTTTAAGGTATTATTTCAAGGTTGGACTTAGAACTTTTGAATGCTCCAATAAGTTTATAGCCATTAATATTAGTAAATTAATAATGCTAAATAAACCCCAAACCAAAATCAAATCAATACTAATGCTAACAAATTCAATATTACGAAAGGGAATGTATTGAATATCTATTTTTTGTTTTGCAATAATTTAGATAAAAATGCATAACCTATATTTTTCTTTAGCGTTTAGTCATGTAATTAACATTCTCTTATTAGTCTATTTATTTTAGCATGACTTAGTACTTTTAGATTATGTTTATTTTTATTATGTCTTTTTTATTAGCAATATTTATATTGCATAATTTTATTATCTTTATTGTTGAATATTTTAGGATAATGCCATGACACATCTCATATTTTGTATTATTTTCTTGGAAAATACTTTATATAGTTGTATCTTACTAGGATTAAAGAAATATTTTGAGCATACGTTATATGTCTTGTTCTACGAAGATCTTACCATAAAAAAAACCCAAAACCCCGAGAAAACAGAGATTGAAAAACCCGAGTTTTATTGGTTTGGTTTGGTCTTTAGATTTAATAACCCGACACAATTGGTTTGGTTTGGTAATTGTAAAATCCGAACCAACCCGACCTATGTACACCCCTAGTGTTAACTTTTACATTTGTAAAGCCTTAAATTGGGGGTTCCTCAAGTTTGGGAGACTAGGAATTCTCCCAAAAGTGATCGTATTCAAGAAGCCATGGATAATATGGATATCCATATTATCCGCCGGATAACCCGTTTTTTATCCGTCTTAAATACGGGTCTGGTCGGATAATTTATCTGTTTTTTGAATTACCCATTTTCAACCCGCCCATATCCAACCTGACCCGCCCGTTTGCCACCCCTAAGTCCTAGTTATTTACCTAGAGGAACAGGGAACAATTCTCACTTGATATTGCTTTTTTCTCCATTTCTTTAGTGGCACATAAAAATCCTAAATTCGCCTTTGTTGACCATAAACGAAATATTGAGTTATTGATGGTGCCAGGATGTTCAAGTCATTTTCAAACATTGGTCTGTCCACCATTTTTTTAGTAAGCTACTAAAGTTTATTCTATTAACTTCTTTTTCTTTGGAGAAAATGATAAAGATAATGACGGTAATAACAAAGATCTCAAACGTGTCCAAATTATGTTTAAAGAACTATTACTATCATTTAAGATGGCCAATAGTCCATATTGGCAACCGTTGGAAGGAAGCAAAAGCAAATTATCAAGAATTTATTAGTTCTATAACACATCACCAATGACATCAATTTGCCATACTTGTACACCATTAACAAACAGCCCATCACTTGCACTTTATTTCACTTATTTCCAGAGTTCCACTACCCATAATAATATTATCTGAACCACCCATTTTTCCTTAAACTTTTTCATCTAAAAGAAAAGAGGAAATTCAAGAATTGGAATATGGAGAAATCACTAGAGGAAGTGCGCCCTGTTAAGGCTTTTGGTTGGGCAGCTAAAGACACTTCAGGATTACTTTCCCCCTTTAAATTTTCCAGAAGGTAATTGATCTTATACAAGATATCATTTTTTGTAATAAGGACAAAATCTTGATTTTGATCAAAACTTAAGGTTAAAGGGTCATCTTGAATATTAATGTTTGTGTTATTTTGGTTTCAAATGATGTGTTTGTAGGGCAACTGGTGATAAGGATGTAAAATTGAAGATTCTTTATTGTGGTATCTGTCATACTGATCTTCATCAACTGAAAAATGATTGGGGATTTTCTCAATATCCTATGGTCCCAGGGTATGGTCTCAATTTTAGAATCTTGAAAGTATTATATTTCATAGATATGCAGAACTCTTTTACTAGCTTCAGATATTTACCACATATTGCATATTTATAATATTGCTCTTGACCTATGGTACCACCATAAATTTTAGTTTAGCCAGGAAATAGCCTCTTAATAATTACATTTAAGAAATCATAGCTGTGAGGTGGGCATGAGTGCCCCTGATTTAAAACAGGAGAATTTGTTGCTGAAACTGTATGAAGTAGTTCAGAGAAAGGTCATTTATGCTTACATCCGAGAAATTTGTCCTTTGTCAAAACATTAGGATTTAACTTATAAGCACTAACGGTATAAAGAAATTTTACACCATCAGCATATTTTAACCTCTTCTAGATAGTAACCTGGCTTATCTCTATGTTACTAATCCCACTTTGTATGGACCGTTACTGGTAGTTATCGGTTATGTGACTTGATAGTCTAAAAATTCTTTTAGACAGTAAGTGTATTGAAATATAACTCAAACATTAATAGTTCTTGCCTAAGGTCCAAGTGTTTTTGGCTCAGTTAAGGAACATTCCTTGCAACCTTCAAATTCAATAGCTCTATTTGCTTATAATTAAAATTTGAATTCTAACTCTTATGATGGATGCAGACATGAGATTGTGGGTGAAGTAACTGAGGTTGGTAGCAAGGTGGAGAAATTTGAAGTTGGGGAGAAAGTTGGTGTGGGGTGCCTAGTTGGATCATGTCGGTCTTGTGAAAACTGCACCAATGATCTTGAGAACTATTGTTCCAAGGGAATAGCTACCTACTGTGCAACCTACCTTGATGGAACACCAACGTATGGAGGCTACTCGGACATGATTGTTGTTGATGAACATTTTGTCGTCCATGTCCCAGAAAACATGCCCCTAGCTGCTGCTGCCCCTCTCCTTTGTGCTGGAATTACAACTTACAGCCCGTTGAGATACTTTGGACTAGATAAACCAGGTCTTCATATTGGTGTAGTAGGTCTTGGTGGACTTGGTCATGTTGGTGTCAAGTTTGCCAAGGCTTTAGGGTTAAAGGTAACGGTAATTAGTACATCTCAAAGGAAACAGAAGGAAGCCATTGAACATCTCGGTGCTGATTCGTTTTTAATTAGCACTGATCCGGATCAGCTGCAGGTAGCTACTTCTAAACTCAACTCTTTTTCTCTATTATCTGTTATAGGATAAAACACTAAAGATGAAAAATACTAACTAGAAGAACAATATGCAACAATTAACAATAAAAGAAGGGATGAAGCTTCGGATATGAAAAAACTAGCTGTTTTCAGAGATATATGCTGCTATCCTGATGCAATAGTTAAGTGACATGCTACTCCCAAGATACAACTAACCACTCAGAAATCTTCTATTGTGCACTCAAATAAAAGTTTCAAAACACTTTTAAATCTCTCAGCTGATTTTGTAAGAATTTAGAGTGAGTGGATAAGACACTCTGAAGGAGAGTAAAATGATAAAGAGCCAAATGATAAAGTAAAGGTTACTCAAGGTCATATGGAAAATTAACTGATCGATAACTTGGGATGGTGGGGTAGGTATATATATAGATGAAATATAACCAAGGCACTTTTTCCCCAAATAGATGTGTCCTACAAAAATTGTATACGTCTTTTTCGAATATGTTGTGTCTTTTCAACAATAGGAAATTATATTTTGAATCATTCAGAATAAAAACCAACTTCTATTTCATAGAATAACACTGTGGTACTCAACTGTGGTTCCTGTTTCCATAGGCTGCTATGGGCACAATGGATGGCATTCTCGATACAGTCGCTGCTACTCACCCTATCTTACCATTGGTTGGGCTATTGAAGACTAATGGGAAGCTTATCTTGCTTGGTGCACTTGAAAAACCCCTCGAGCTACCAGTCTTTCCATTGCTTATGGGTGAGTTGATTACTCTCACTGTCTAGATTTTGGTATGACCGTGCAAGGAATGTGTTATTATCTTATATTTAAAATCCTTTAGTTGCTAGTAATGTAAATAAGTTGAGAATTGCATATAATGACAGGGAGGAAGCTCGTCGCTGGAAGTGGGATAGGGGGGATGAAAGAGACACAAGAAATGCTTGATTTTGCTGCAAAACACAATATAACAGCAGATGTTGAAGTCATTCCGATGGATTATGTAAACACTGCAATGGAGCGTCTCGCCAAAGCTGATGTTAAATACCGTTTTGTCATTGATGTTGCTAAGACCCTCAAAGCAGAATGATTAAGAGTTTTACTTCATATAATTCTAGTATTTTATGATACTTTGAGCATGAAACGGCGAGTTTCATTCCTTCTTGTGAAACATTGCTTTAGAGAATATATAATGAATTATGAGTAGCTTCTCAAATATTGGAATGGGAAGTCTTTTATCTTCTATGAAGCCAAATCTTTTTGCTCACGAGTTACTCTCTTTAGAAGATGGAAACTAATTACTCCTATATGATCTAGTAATCAAGCAAATTCCACCAGTGGTGAAAAGTGTTCGGTGATTTCTCTTATCGGAGAACATATTTCTCATCAACAAGTAACATTACAAGTAACCGAAATCCAGAAACTAACCTTGTCATAGAAGTCACACTGAGAAGCACAAAGCGAATGAGTGACATAAGACTGGCACATGCAATGTTTCCATCAGATCTGACATTACATAAGAAGAAACTTTTACAACTCATTCAATTCAAGATATCAGTCCTACATAATCTGAACTACAGGAGCCACAGAAAATAAAATCATGCCAGTATAGTGCAAATAAGCTAACAAACAATGAAACCACCAAATAGTCTCAGCATCATAAAGTAGAATTCCTGAACATCTAACCAATTCATAAGCCTATGGAAACCAGAGTTTGACAAGCTAGATAATCCTTGTAAACATCTTGAATGTGCATCCAATTTAAGCATCTGACAACATACTATATTGTTCACCTAAAGAATAACATATTCAAGATGCTAATATTGTTCCTTAAAGAACCAGGCACTCCATCTTCTTTGCTTCTACTTCCTCTCTCTCTTTTTTGCTTCTGCCTCTGCGCTGCTCAGTTTCTGCTATAAATCCACTATACTACTATTTTTCTCACAGGCTTCTGCACAACTATGTTTATGAACTTCAGCACCTTACTAAGCCTCTACACTCACGTTACTCTATCTATGGACTACCGTCTATACTCATGATCTCATGCTCATCGGTCAGCATATTTTCAGTTACTTCACTATCAAGAATTAATCACTGTCTATTGGTAGCAAAGATTACTTCTTTTTCTTTTCTTCATATCTCAATAATACAATTCAGGATACCCAGAATCTGAAAGGTCCAGTTACAGTTTATAAAATTTAAAAATTGATTGACAAGAAAGGCAGGTACTTCTGTTAAGCATTTTATCAAACGGCTAGTATGCATTACTGTAAAAACAAAATTACCAAATTTCTCTGCTAATTAACTTTAGTTTCCAGTTCCAATTGTTTCAATCTTAACTGAAGCTGTAGGTATTGATTGGGCTTGTTGTTTCAGACATTAACTATAACAAATATGGAAGAATAACTTACGAGTGATGGCGCTACTGGAACTTTGCCTTCTCCGATATTGCATCAGTAGTCTATGTTTTTCATATAGTTACATTTTAAGTTTAAGAAAAAAAACAAAAAATTTAAAGTAATGGTCTTAACATTGTGATGTCATTTCTGTGAATATAAAAGCATGGTATTAAAGGTAACATAAAAGATGTGTTTTTTTTTAAGCACTAAAAAAAATTAGTGCTACCTATAATTAATAAATATTGTGGTTGACCCAAAAAAAAAGAATTTGTGAGTATTGAGTTAGTGATTTTAAAAACAGAAATTTGTCAACCATTTTTTGGTGTCTCAAATAATTCTTAAAATAAACGAAACGTCAATTATGAAGGCCAATAGGTTGTGTCTAAGGTCCATTCAAAAATAAAAACACTTTTTTAACTCCGGTCCGTATTGGCAATTATGAAGGGAGCCTTTGCCTAATTGGTAAAGTTATTGCCACGTGACCAAGAGATCACGAGTTCGAGCCGAGAAAACAGGCTCTTGCAAAATTGCAATGTAATACTGCGCACGATGGACCCTTGTGGTCCGGGGATAGATCCTTGTGGTCCGGCTTCCCCAGACCCGCGCATAGCGAGAAGTTGGTGTACCGGGCTGCCTTTTTTTCCGTATCGGCAACTATGGCAGGAAGCAATTCAAAATTTCAAAGAATTTAGTTCTCTTAACTATTGACAAATACTTATAACAATTGACTAATGCATCAGTCTATACCATACTTATACAGCCATAACTTTACATTTTTCCTTCTCATTGCTATAGTTACACCACCAAATAAGTAATACCTTATAGTTATATTTGTAGCAGAATTGTACAGTTAAATTGAATTATCTTTGAGTTAGTAAAAAATTCAAGAATTCGGATATGGAGAAATCACCAGAGGAAGTGCACCCAGTTATGGCATTTGGTTGGGCTGCTAGAGACACTTCTGGTTTCCTCTACCCCTTCAAATTCTCCAGAAGGTACCTTTATATATATATATATATATATATATATATATATATATATATATATATATATATATATATATATNCTACAAAAATTGTATACGTCTTTTTCGAATATGTTGTGTCTTTTCAACAATAGGAAATTATATTTTGAATCATTCAGAATAAAAACCAACTTCTATTTCATAGAATAACACTGTGGTACTCAACTGTGGTTCCTGTTTCCATAGGCTGCTATGGGCACAATGGATGGCATTCTCGATACAGTCGCTGCTACTCACCCTATCTTACCATTGGTTGGGCTATTGAAGACTAATGGGAAGCTTATCTTGCTTGGTGCACTTGAAAAACCCCTCGAGCTACCAGTCTTTCCATTGCTTATGGGTGAGTTGATTACTCTCACTGTCTAGATTTTGGTATGACCGTGCAAGGAATGTGTTATTATCTTATATTTAAAATCCTTTAGTTGCTAGTAATGTAAATAAGTTGAGAATTGCATATAATGACAGGGAGGAAGCTCGGTTTTTGCTTCTGCAGTCTTTGTGGAGACGAAGGCGGTGGCCTAGTCTCAATTACTGGCTCGGGTCCTTTATCATCTTTCTCATTCCCCTCAACTGGCTTGGGAACTAATTCTCCTTCAGGATGAGCTGTATTCTTCTTTTTCTTTGGAACTTCTTCTAATGCTCTTCCATTTCTCAAGGTAACCGCATTGACTTGAGCTTTAGGATT